GTGGGGCTGACGGGTTGTGTGTGTGACTGTGGGACTGGCACAGGTCTGGGATAGAAGTTGTGTGTGTGACACAAGGCTGTGGGTGAAGGTGGGGCTGACACGGTGCTGGGTTAAAAGTTGTGTGTGACACGGGACAGCGGGTGAATGTGGGGCTGGCACAGGGCTGGGGTAGAAGTTGTGTGTGACACGAGGCAGTGGGTGAATGTGGGACTGGCACAGGACTCGGTTAGCTGTTGTGCGTGTTACACAGGGCAGCGGGTGAATGTGGGAGCTAGCACAGGGCTAGGGTAGTGATTGTGGCTTTGACATGGGGCAGCGCGTCAATGTTGGGACTTGCACAGAACTGGGATGGCAGTTGTGTGGGTTACACGGAGAAGTGGGTAAATGTGGGACCTGACAGGGTTGTGGCTGTGACATGGGGCAGTGGGTGAGTGTCGGGGCTGGCACAGGGCAGGGTAGAGGTTGTTGCTGTGACATTGGACAACGAGTAAATGTTGGGGGCACAGGATTGGTGTAGAGGTTGTGGGTATGACATTTGGCAACAGGTAAATGGGGAGGCTTGCACACAGCTGGGGTAGAGGTTGTGTGTGTGACACAGGGCAGCACATAAATGTGTTGGTTGGCACAGGGCTTGGGTAGAGGTTATGTTTGACACTGGGAAGCAGATAAATATCAGGGATGATAGTTGTTTGGGGTAGAGGTTGCGGTTGTGACAAGGAGCAACAGGTAAACCTCAAGTCCTGGTAGAGGGTTGAGGTAGATGTGGTGTAATACAAGGCATCAGATTAATGTCAGGGGCTGGCACAGGTGGGTTAGATGGAGTGAGTGTGATACTGGGTGGCAGTTAAATGTTTCAGGGTTTGGCAAGCAGCTGTAGCAGAGGTTGTAGGTTTGACTTGGAGTGCATGCATAAGTCTGGGTTTAGAAATTGTAAGGCTGACCAGAGGCATTGAGTAAATATTGGGAGGTTGGGCTCTGTAGTTGATACAGTACTGGGGATAGATGTAGGGAATAGGTGCATTCTTTGTAGGGCTGGTACTGTGGGGCTGGTTGTGGTGCCCTAGATGTTTGGCTCTGTACAGATGGAGTGGTTGTGTTTGAGGATTGGGGTTTGGCTTTGTCACTAGAGAATGGAATGTGTGTGGTGATGTGAAGGATCCAAGAAACTAACATGATGCTAGGGACAGGAGTTCTAGAGGGTGCTGTCACAGTAACAGGGTGTATGGATGGGATTTGAGTTTATAAAGGAGGATGGTTGGCATGATGTCTAAATGGGAGTGAGTTGTGAGGAGTTCAACATCCCTCTTAAGGAGGGGGATGTAACCGCAAGGGGCTGACACAGTGGTGGTGGTGGGAAGGGCTGAATGGCATAGTTTGTGGGTGGGTGCTAAGTCTAAGAAATCCCATATGGTATCTAGGGGAGGGAGTTAAGCTGCCTGAATGGTCTAGGGGCAGTGACTGGAACACCAGTAAGGAGAGGACCATATGAGGGGTCAGCCCAGTGTCTATGATGGGCAAGAAACATAAGACCGGCCATTCTGGATTTGACGAAAGGGCTATCTAGCCCAGTGCCCTGTCTGGTGATAGTCGTCAGTGCCAGGTGCCCTAGAGGGAATGAAAAGAACAAGGAATCAGCAAGTGATCCAACCTGTCTCCTATTCCCATCTTCTGGCAAAGAGGCTAGGAAGACCTTCCCTGTTAATTTTACCTAGGTTTTTTTTGAACTCTGTTATATCATCTTGATCATGTTGTGAACAACATCCTCTGGCAGAGTTCTATAGGTTGATTGTACGTAGTGAAACAAAATTACATCTTTACAACCCTGCTGCCTATTATTTTCATTTGGTGACCTTTAGTTTTTCTGTTATGAAACAGAGTAAATAACACTTTCTTATCTACTTTCTCCACACCAGTCATTATTTTATAGACCTCTGTCATATCCCCCTTAAACCTCTCTTTTACAAGCTGAAAAGTCTCAGCCTTATTCATCTCTCCTCATATGGAAGCTGTTCCATACTCAATCATTTTTATTGCCTATTTCTGAACTTTTTGCAATTCCAGTATATCTTTTTTGAGATGGGTGACCACATCTGTACACAGTATTGAAGTGGGGACAGTGGAAAGGGCCGAGAGGTATAGTTTGATGGTGTGAAGTCTAAGAAATCCCATGTGGTGTCTAAGCAGAGTATCAAGCTGTCTTATTTTCTCTCCCTTTCTTAATGGTTCCCAACATTCTATTAGCTTTTATGACTGCTGATACACAGAGTGGAATAATGTATCCTGGAGTACCGTAAGCAGCCATGTGAGTGTCTAGATCAGGGCTACTCAACATGCGGCCCACGTCCTGTTGTTTGCAGCCCGTGGTGCGGTTTGGGTTTACGCAGAGCTCAACATGTGGCCTGCGGGTGGGATCCTTTGAACATGGCCTCCACTAAGAACATGCTCAATAATGGCGAGTCAATATAATAGTCTTCTGTTGATATGCATTTTAGTAGTTAAATTCCTGGACTGTCATTGCTTATTGAAAGTGCTGTCATATGGGTGGAAATGGGGTAAATATTGCATTTCATTAATATTAGCAGAACTGACTTAAATGGGGCCAGTGTGTTGTATAGTCTTGACTTAATCTTTGTATTCATACCCATCAGTGTGAAAGAAGCTATTTGTATATATTTGCATATATTTGCCTGTACATGCAATCACACTAAAGTTGTGGCCCTCAGCATATTCTGTGAGTATCATTGTGGCCCCCGGGGCTTCCAAAGTTGAGTAGCCCTGGACTAGATGATGATTCCCATTGGCTCTGGAGAATGTTTCTCTCATATGTCTCTCTTACTATGCTCTCTACCCTGAATGCTACTGCTCCCTTGTGATGCACTCTGTTCATCATTTGCACTGGACAGTAGAATGGCTGGTAATTTATGGTACTACAGAAGCTCCTAGTGCAACTCTAACACTTTCTATCCAATAGCTGGATCACTTAGCAATTGTGTCTTTTGTTCATTCCCTGTGAAGCACCTGGCATTGGCCACTGTTGAAAGCAGGATAACTTAGCCAGATGGACCTTTGGTATGACCTTCTATGTAAAGCCTTGCCAGCAATATATAGTGGAAATTCATAAAACTAAAAAAAATCACAAAAGAATCTACCTGAAGCAGAGTTTTTATCCTGAGAAGGGGAAAGTACAAGAGATTCCATGAAGTCTTAATAGGGATTTTGCTGTTGCTATTGACTTCACATGGAAGGTACTCAGTTTCTGTGGTAATTGGTGGCAATATAAAACTCTAAGATAGATTTGTTTCTGTGACTCCTTCATCACAAGATGATAGGGACGCCAATCCCACTCGTATTAGTTGAGTATTAGTCTCTTGTTTTTATCAAGTTTTAGACAAATAGTAAATGTTTTGTTTGCTGGATGATTTTTTGTCTGTTTGATAATTGAAGTAAATATAAGTAAATCCAAATTCTGTATCAAAATGTCTTCATTTAGTTTGGGGTATTGCTATTTCAAAGCTGTTCTGGCTAATTTTGGCATGTGGCTAAATGTCAGTTGGGTTTTGGGATGTCAGCCATCCAGAAAGAAACTGAATTTAAACGCTTGTCCAGAAATTTGTGAGAAATAATGGAAGACCCCTGTTCCCGGTTATCTTGCCGCTTTCATTAATAGTCACTAAACTCATTTATAATTGAGAGCCCTGTGACCAAAGTGATAGCTGTGGGCATCTGGTGGAAATGTTTCTAGGATGTATCTCTGGACTTCTGTTGCGGTTGTTTCGCGGATCTGGGTCGAGTCTGACAGTGATACTGTTTTAAACTTTTCTCTCTGTCTAGAATGCACATGATTGGGGTTTGCACTGCTTCCCTGGGCTCGCTTGGGTTTATGCGGCTTTTTGGAGTGCCCTGGTCATGGAGTCTGGCAGCAACACTGGGTGTTTACATCGGGAGTGGAGGATGGAGGTTTCTCCGTATCATCTTTAAGACTGCTGTGAGGGATCTCTTGTAAGTGTGCTTTGTGGGTCTTCATCTTATTTTGTAACGTGTTGGTTTTGTGTTTGCATAAAATGACTTTGCACTACTCACAATAAAACTGTTATCTGCAACTCGCATTAGCAGCACAACAGGGGAAAGATACTAGAATGTTGGAAACATACCTATGATGACTACAGTGGTCTTGTACCCTTGCTGAAATCTGGCCACATTAGAAGTCCTGAAATGTTTGGAAAGGTGTTTGACATAAGAACTTAAAATAAGTGGATTTTGTGTCATTAAGTTTGAACCTGTCAAGGTTAAATTTGCAGTTACAGCTTTTTCTGCTTATTGTGTGTTCTTGTGTGGGAGAAGTTAATTGTGGCCTGAAAGGTTTATGGCAGGGGTTCCCAAACTTTTTGACATTGGGACCAGTAATTCCATTCACGAGCTTTTGGAGGACCGGTAACATTCATTTGCATATTTTCATATTCATTAAGCAAATGATGAATATTCAAACAAGTTGTTTCTGGTCCCCTCAAAGCCCCCCAGTGCCAGCTTTAGCAAAGCTTTTGATATGGTCACCCACAATATTCTTGCCACCAAGTTAAGGGAATATGGATTGGATAAATGAACTGAGAGGGTATGTCTACACTTGCTCCCTAGTTCGGATTAGGGATCCAAATGGAGCATACCAAAATTGCTAATGAAACACGGGATTTAAATGTCCCACGCTTAATTAGCATATTTGTGGCCGGCTGCCATTTTGGATTCGGGGTATTGCGAAATAAGTAGCCCCGTGTAGATGCGTTATTCCGAGAGAAAATCCTTCTCTCGGAATAACTGTTAAACCTCATTGCACGAGGAATAAAAGTTACTTATAAACGTGGGTTATTTAAATCCTGCGCTTCCTTAGCAATTGCGGTATGCTCCATTTGCACCTCTAGTCCGAACTACGGAGCAAGTGTAGACATACCCTCTCAGTTCATTTTTTTCAGTACTGTTTTTTGCAGCCCAAAAATGTAAACACATATTAAAAAAAAGAATTAAAAATGAATAAATTTTCAGTGTTTCACCCAGTTGCATCCTCCGCTCAGCCTGGGCCAGGGCTTGGAGGACCCAGCGCCGCATGGGCACTCCAGGAGATGGGAGCAGGAGCAGATTGGGGGTAGGGTTTCTGGCTAGGAGGGAGGGTGCAAGGAGGGGAAGGGTTGCCAGGTGTCTGGTTTTGTACCGGAGAGTCTGCTATTTGAGGGTTCTGTCCAGGAAACAAATTGAGAAAATACCAGACATATAGGCTACGTCTACACTGGCCCCTTTTCCGAAAGGGGCATGCTAATTTCACAGGTCGTAATAGGGAAATCCGCGGGGGATTTAAATATCCCCCGCGGCATTTAAATAAAAATGTCCGCCGCTTTTTTCCGGCTTTTAGAAAAGCCGGAAAAGGTAGGAATATTCCTACTTCGAAGTAGGAATAAGATCCTCCGGAAAAGGGCGCTTTTTCCGGAGGATCGGGGCCAGTGTAGATGCTCTTTTCCGGCTTTTCTAAAAGCCGGAAAAAAGCGGCGGACATTTTTATTTAAATGCCGCGGGGGATATTTAAATCCCCCGCGGATTTCCCTATTACGACCTGTGAAATTAGCATGCCCCTTTCGGAAAAGGGGCCAGTGTAGACGAGCCCATAAAGTGTCTGGTATTTTCTAATTAGGTAAGTTTTATTATTATTAGGTGTATCAGTCCATAGCTGCGAACAGCCTAGCTGGTAGATGTGATCACGCTGCATGAGTGTGTCTACCAGCCAGGCAGTTCGCAACTACTTGAGGGAGGGTATGGGGGGGGGGGCAAAATGGAATCCCCGGGGTCAGACTCACTCATGTGCCCGGGTCTGCATATACCCTGCCCGGGTCAGTCCTGCTTCCTGCCGGCCGATTCACGCTCCCCCCCTCCCTACCCGCTTCTCCTCCCGATCTCCCCCATCCAGCCCCATTCCCCCTTACCTCCCTCCCAGCTAGCCGATTCTCCCCCGCTTCACCTTCCGATCTCCCCAGGCCAGCCCCGCTGCCCCCGTCCAGCCCTGCTTCCAGAGGCTGGTTCTCTAGTCCTCCTCCCGATTTCCCCCGGCCAGCTCCCCCACCCCGTCCTCACCCCCCCAGCCAGCCCTGCTTCTGCCAGCCGCCCGCCTACCCCCTCCTCCCGATCTCCACTGGACAGCCCTGCTACCCTCAACCCTGTTTCCCAGTCACCAGTTTCCCCTACACACACACCTCCTCCCAGCCCATCCCGCTCCCCTCCCGTACCGGGTCATGGCCCGTAGTTTGGGAAACGCTGGCTTAGGGTATGTCCACGCTGTACATTACAGCATGGCCCCTGCAGCACTATGACGTGGGCCGTGTAGTCTCTCTTTAAGGCCAGAGGCAAGCTCTTCCAGGGTATGTCTACACAAAGCCCGGGATTTGAAATGAGGAGTAACGGTAGTTCGAACTAGGAAGCCTAGTTTGAACTACCTAGTTCATGCCCCGTGTAGCCGCACTGCACGGGGTTCGAACCAGCGGGGGTTTAAAAATGACGGCTCCCCGCTTATGCAAATGAAGCCCGGGAAATTCAAATCCCGGGCTTCATTTGCAAGTGCGGTATGCATACATTACCCCGCTAGTTTGAACTAGCGGGGTAGTGTAGACACACCCCCAGAGAGCAAAAAACCCATCCTGAACAAAGGGTGGTAGCTTCAGTGATGAGAGCATGGCTCTCAGTGATAAAGTGCAGCCTATACTAGCACTTTTCAGTGCTAAAACTTTTATTGATTGGGAGGGGTGTTTTTTCACACCCCTGAATATTGAAAGTTTTAGCACTGAAAGTGGCAGCCTTAGATTATCTAGGAATACAGATAAATTGAATGGTTCAGAATGAAGACTTGCACTGAGGAAATGTTCTGATTGTGAAATATAATAAGAGGCTTGTAAAACTTTTGTTAAAGTGAGTGGAAATTATTGGAGAAACAAAATATTTTGTTCCTGCTAAAGGTAAAGGAACAGTCAGTAAATATTAAGTTTATAGATTAAAAAAAAAAACCCTTGTGATTCATACAACAGTCTCTAGTCTCTACCCAACCTCCTGAGGCAGCCAAAGACTCTGTAATTAGCGTCTCACTTAGTTCCGTGCCTCATGGACTTCTGTGAGGGAACCTCTTTGTTCTAAAGGATTTAGGGCTCTTGTGATCACCAGAGACTGCCTAGCTTTACTGTGGCTGTCAATGGACTTCGAAGGACTGTTTCCTTTTGATTGCACGGCAAGTGAGGAATAATGGCAGAAAATAAATGGAGAGAATAAAGCCCCTTCAGAATGGGAAAAGGGTAGCTAACAAGTGAAAAGGCTCTTCTGTTCTGTCTCTGGCATAGCTCAGTACAGGGTCACCATGAAAGGCCAGCTCAGTCTCACAAAATGCCTGCTGCCTGTTTTCAAAACTACACCCTCCCCCATCCCATGGCTTTGCTGACCAGGGTTCCTGCTGCTGACAGTAATGGGGGATGTAGAGTTTTTATGGTGCTGGTAAGTAACGACCTTTTAACTTGTTGGGGCTTCTTGCAAACAATTTCTCTACTTGATAGAGAAAATACAGCCAGCACCTTCCGGCCCATTAGGGAAGCAGAGACCAGGTGGGTATTCTTCTTTGGGTGTTGATACTCTGATCATATATTTTCGCATACTTAACTCTCTGTGTACTGAGAAATTACAATAAGTATCAAAATAGAGTCAGACTATGAGTGTCTTCAACAGAAACTATACAGTGTAAGTGTGAAAAAATCCAGAGTTATATTTCAGGAAACAAATTCCTGACCCATAACTGATGTACAGTAGACTTCCGATAATCCAGCACCTTTGGGACCTAGGGGATGCTGGATTATAGGATATGCCGGAGTATCAGGAGGTACTCCGGCAGGGGGGCTGTGATGGGTCTGGGGGGAGGGTGTTGGCGGGGAACGGCGCGGTGTGGTGTGAAAAAATCCAGAGTTATATTTCAGGAAACAAATTCCTGACCCATAACTGATGTACAGTAGACTTCCGATAATCCAGCACCTTTGGGACCTAGGGGATGCTGGATTATAGGATATGCCGGAGTATCAGGAGGTACTCCGGCAGGGGGGCTGTGATGGGTCTGGGGGGAGGGTGTTGGCGGGGAACGGCGCGGTGTGGGGCAACCGCTGGTGACAGGCCAGCTGGGGCGGCAAGCGGCAGGGGGGCGC